TCTTTTAGGAGAAAAATAACCACACATTATAATTGGTGCAAACATACAAGCAGAGTGGGGAAGGGGGGTTCTTACTGAATTCCAAGTTCACCTGGTCTTGAACTACAGCAGAGGTATCTGGTCTTAACTTTCAGAAGAAATCTTAAAGTTTTGAAATTAATAAAACAATTCCCCACTTTTCTCGAGGAACCCGCCACACATCCGATGCACGTGGAGACACAGCATGGTGAAGGACTGCTTTCCCGTGATGTGCGAGCCAGACATTTGTCGTCGTCCTGATAGCATGTCGGCTAAATTGTCATGTGGAATGTTTTCTAAACCCCATCAGGGCAGAGTTTCATATCCAGAAAACTCCACTGAAGCTTCCTAAGTTATCATTAACAAATTCCCTGGCATACTAAAATGCCCCTGTGTTTCACTGATTTGAGAGTACTATTCGGACATTTAAAATCAATATGAATAATTTCCTTTTTTGAGATTTTGAATAAACTTGTTTTCTTAAACTTTGCTACACACTTGTCCAAACGAAGAAACCACTGATTACACTATTTCTGGGATGTCGTTTAAAAAGTACCATTAGTTTTCTTCCCCGGGGAGAGAAATGTATTGACACATCCTAGCAAGAGGCGTTTTAAACTATCAAACTCAATTTCCAAGAGATTTTTCTCCCAACTTCCCATCAGCAACAGATTTCTGCCATCATCAGGACGGTAGGGGGCGCTGCCACAACAAACTATTGTGGCAAATGGAGAGAAACTTCACTGGGAGAAAAAACAAGGCTAAACCTGTATGATTTTCCCATGTCAATGAGCATCTAAAAAATATTGTATATATTTTTTCCTCTTGAAATAACTCACATCAGGGCTCAAATAACTAGGGTTTTCTTTCTGTTCCTTTGTGTGTGTCGGAGGGGGGCGGCGGGGGGGGATGGCATTTCATAAGTGTGTGTTAGAAATCCTATATTACAATTTTGGGACTGAATCAAGAAGGTCTAAAAGGAATCCCTTTACCTAAAATACTGGCTAAACACAAGAGCTAAAACGTGCCTAATAGATGGTGCTGTGTGTGATTTTCTTTTTCTTGTTTAAGTCTTCAGTCTTTTCCACAAATATCTAACTCCAAGTTCAGAGCCAAGATGAAAGAGAACTGTGGCAAAATTTCATTAAATAATCGCATAATCCAGGCTCCATAGGTTGGACTTCTTTAATAAGAGTTTTCCATGTAATTGAGTTAAACTTAAATTTATGCATCCCATAAAAGACCATTGCAAATGGTAAAACAAAGACATTGCTCTAACACTTAGAAAATTAAATTCACCAAACCATGAAGTCTACTGTGCAGTTATTTTTGTAACCACCATAAATTGCTTTATAAAACTCCTCTACCCAAGTAAACAATCCAAGGAGATATTTACAGCATGCATCCAGTTTCCAAGCAAGAGAGCAGCCTGAAAGTTTATGACTTTTTCTTCTTTTTTTAAATTGCCTCTCCCTTCTTAAAAAAAAAAAAACTTGTGTTTCTAGTTACCTTGAAACCTTCCTTCTCTTACACTAGCTCAGAAAGGTCCATGGAAAATAAGATCCAGCTCTCTGGATATACTGTACCCTCAGATACTCATCTCTGAAACGGGAAGAAACAATCCTACTTTGTGGAAATAAAGTCTATGTGGCGAAACGAAAATACAGGGGGTTAGCACTAAATATTTCACCATACTTAACAGCACCTCAGAGTCCAACATGGTCTTAGATGTTTTGGGGCAGTCGGCTTGAAATGTGTTCACTTACAGCCGTGGACCGGGCCGCATTCAATGCAAACTGCTTTAGATAAGAGTTTTAGGGGGTCTTTAATCACTTCTTTCTTGTGTCCTTGATGGAAAAAACAGAGCTGCCTTTGTGCTAAGAAGAAGGACCTGTTGTTTCCAGATTCAACAGGTCATTTTTATAAGAACTTCCCAGAGGATACAACAGAAATGACAGAAACACAAGGGGATTTTTTTAAGTGGCTGATGATTTTAAATGATATATATCCCATAGCAGGGGAAGGCTGTTTGTTTTTCTTTCCAACAAATGGAAAGTTACTGTTTGAAACATGTTTAATGTTCAAGTTTGACTTTTAGGACGAAACCGTTTTCTCCTGAGTTGTGTTACTGTAAATTTGCTTCCTGTGCTTGACTCTCAAGTAAATAAACTTGTCAAATCACGTTCATTTCTCTTTGGGGGATGAATGGCTAATTGAGTGGGCTTTTGAAATATACTTAAATGGTGGTGTAACTTTTGTACTATCATTTCAGTTAAAATAACAAGGAGAAGGCACCTTTAATGAACAAGATAAAACTTTAGAAAATGGAAAATTCCAGCATATTTTTCCTTATGCTCCGAGAAGAGAAAAAACACCAATATTTTATGGCAAACAAAACCCAGGTGACACTAAGATTTATTAGAGTTTGGCTTATTCTGTTATTAAAGGTGGTCTGAATTTGAGAAGACTGGCAAATTTAAGATTAAGATCTAAATCAGCCTTGTTTCCTACACTGCATTAGGAGGGTTTTTTCACAGCATTACCAAGATTCCTATTTTCCCTCCACTTTTCTTCCTTTAACAAAAATTTCGGCTACCTCATTTACAAAGAGAATTGTTTGAAGATCTTTAGAAAAGTTTCTGCCAGTCCAAAGACAAAAGGTACTCCTTCCCACAAATACAGAGGGCATTTTGTAGAATTTCCCCGCCCTAAACAAAAGTTATTGCTAACAAAGCCTTTTAAAAACCACTCTTACATACATACCCCCAAACCTAGAGTCTAGTTCTTGACACTTTTAAGTGTCTGTATTACTTACCACTCAGAACAAGTATCTATATTACTTACCACCCAGGACAATTCTCTTGCAAAGAGTTAAGATAAGTAAATAAATAGGCGATGGCAAAGACTGCATTAACCCCAGGGATCCGCCCAGAAGATAAAGGAGAAATAGAAACAGGTTTCCTTGGAGAAAGGATCCACTAGGTTACTTATCTAGTAATTGGGGAGCAGGTTTCTAACTCAGCAGGGACATTTTCTCTCTCTCTACTTCCACAGAGAAGGAGAAACTGAAGAGATGGGCTATTTGGGTGAAGGAATCCGAAAAACTAAAGAAAAATATCTCCAAGGCCAAAATATCCCCCCCGCCCCCATCCGCTTTATTGTGGAAATAGTCTATATGGCAAATCGAAAATACAGGGGTTTAGTACTAAATATTTCGCCATATTTAGACAGAGGCAGGGTGGGGGAAAGCCCTCGTCTTAAGGACCGCGACTGGTGACCCTGTCCCCTCTGATGATATCCGGGAGGGAGTGCACTGGGCGAGGGTCGCCACGGGCTCCTGGGGCCCCCACCGCGCGCTCCGGCCGCCCCCGCCCTGCCCCGCGCCCGCTCACCGGTACCAGGCGAGGCCCTTGTCGTAGCTGCGGTCGAAAAAGTGGGGCTCTGCGCCGACGGCGCGCACGTCGGGGTGCACGCGCAGGAACTCCAGCAGCGCCCGCGTTCCGCCCTTCTTCACGCCGATGATGATGGCCTGCGGCAGCTGCTTGCTCCCCTCGTCCAGGAGCAGGGCCAAGGTCCCCGGCGGGGTCTCGGCCACGCTGCTCCCGGCCCCGGAGCCGCCGAGACTCCCCGCCAGCCCGGCGGACTCCTCTTCCCCGGCCGCCTCCTCGCCGTCGTCTCTCGAGGCGGGCGGCCGACGCCTCGGCCGCGGCCGCACTTGCAGGAGGCGCTTCCTTCGCGCGGCCACGGGCCACGCGGCCAGCTCCCCCGGGCCTCCGGCCGAGACGCCGCGGCCCGGGGTCCCCGCCTCCTCGCCGCCGCCCGACCGCCCCACGACAGGGCCCGATAGGGTCTGGCAGCGCTCGGCCAGGCAGTAGAAGACGTAGAGGGATGTGAGCAGAGAGCAGAGCATCAGCAAGAACTTGCGGAAGACGCTGCGGGACAGCGGCTCGGCCGAGGTGGGGTGGGCGCCGGCCGGGCCCGGAGGGGCCATCCTAGCCGGAGGCGACGTCGGGCAGCGCGCGGGCCATGCTAGGCCGGGACTCCGCCAGGTGCCGGGACATCCTCCAGGGGCTCCTGCGCGCTGGACCGAGGCCACATCGCCCTGCGCCCCTGCGGCCGTGCAAGCTGCCCGGGCGGCAGCAGCCGGGGCTCCTCCGGGAGAAGGAGACCCCGGAGCCGTGTGCGGGATCCCAGCCTCCGGTCGGTCGAGGGGGCGGGAAGGGGGACGTGATGCCGTGCTTAAGAAACCATCGTCTTAGACTCGCCCAAGTCCTCAGCCCGGGGCCGCGTTCGGCGCCCCAGGTCCCCGAGAGTTGCCAGAACGGGGATCTCGGCGGCTGGTGGCGAAGGAGTGCGTCTCAGCCCCGGGCCGGAGCAGCCTCTCAGCGCGCGTCCCAGCTCAGCGATCGCGCATCCCTCGCTCAGTCCCGGAGAGCGGACGCGCGGCTCCCGGGCCGCTGGCCTTCGCGAGCTCCAGACTGCGGCGGGGACAGCGCCTCCGAGCCGCCGCTTGCTCGGTCCCCGGCCCGCCTGGGTGCGCGCTCCCGGCCCTGAGGCGAGGTCCCCCGAGTCCCTCTGCCGAAGCGTGAGCCAGAGGGGCCGCGCCCGGTCGTCCGCCCCTCTCCGTGCGCACCCGGCCGCTCCGGCGGCTCTCGCCCCACCTGGGAGCGGCGAGGCTGAACCGGGCTGCGCGGGACCCGTCTGCAGCCGCGGCCACTGAGCTCCCCGCCTCCCCGCCGCCTCCCGGGCCGTCGCCGCCGCCACACGTGGAGCTCCGAGGGCAGCAAACTTGCCGGTGACGTCAGCGGCCGGGGCCGGACCAGCCCCCAGAGGAGCGCAGGGAGGGCGGGCGGGGGCACGGGGGAGAAGGTGGCGCGGACCCCGCGGCGGCCGCCCAATGACCGCGGAGAGGGCGGGGGCGACCAAGGCGACGCCCCTCCCCTACTCCGCCCACCCCGCCCCCTCCACCCCAGCCTGCTGCCTCACCCCCTCGGAGCAGGGCCGGGTCTGCGGCGGCTCCGGGGACCTCTGACCGGCAGGCGCGGGGGCCGGATCCCCGGGGCCTGACTTCCACCCCGCGAGGCACGCGCTCCATCAGGGGCTCCCAAACCGCTCCGACGCCGCTCAGCCCAGCGCAGCCTCGACCCCTCCGATCCTGTGCTCGGGGTCCCTCCCTCCAGGGTCGCTCCGTCCTGACCCCGGAGCGGCCAGCTCCCCACCTCCGCGAACCTTCGGAAGCTTCGTTGGTGGCGGTTCCCGGGACCGCGCCGGGCGCCGCTCCCCTGGCTGTCCGGGGCGAACTGGACTCCTTCGCTGCGGCTTCGCCTCCCACCTACCCTGCTGTCCACTACGGACTCCCGGGCGAAGCCTTCTGCTCGCAGCAGCTTTTGGTGTTTTGTTGTTTTTGTTTTTCATTTCATTGTTTCCCTATGTTAGTTTAGGATGATCAAAGTTTCGCTGGACCTGGACAGGACCAACCTCTTAGGAAGTGAGCCAATAACTGAATCAAATGGAGAAATTCAGATTTTTTTTTTTTTTTAAAGAAATCAACTCCGATTCCAAATCCATAGACCCAGTTTTTGATGGGAATTCTTTTAGTGGTGTGTGTGTGTGTGTGTGTGTGTGTGTGCGCGCGCGCGCGCGCGCTTTCGTGCGCGAGCGTGCGCGCGCCCCGGTGTGGAGTTAAATGTCTTCTCCTGAGCAGCGGTTTCCTGGTTCGCTTGCCCCCGCTGACCCTACATCCTCTCCCCGCGCTCCTCAGAGAGCGGGTCAGAAAGGCCTACAAATCGCCTTGCTGTTTAATGGAGGGAGGTGGCCCGTGGAACCTGCATGAGGTGGTTTTTAATTCCAATCCGATTTGTTCCTGATTTCTTGGTTTCCTGGTCTCAGCAGGACGCCCCGCAATGTGGGCGGTAGCCTGGCCGCCTCACACTCACCCTTGCAGGCCGCGCGGGCGGCTTTCGGCGCTGGGTGGGTGCTGCCGAAGGCTGGCCGCGGCGGGGCCGGGGTGCGGGGAGCTCCTGCTGCCCGGTGTGGGGACTTGGCCCGCCCGCCTTCCTGCGCTCCATCTGACATGGAAGTGAAGTCTTTATAACCTTTCCAGGGTGATCTGGCGGTTTCTGACTCTGGGTGCCTGGGTGGAATCGCTGTCTGTGTGCCAGCTGGGTAAATACTCAGGGCTGGACGTGGTTTTCTGTTTATAAAGTGCCAATCCTGGCCTTTTCTGTCCACTGGTGAAGAGTTTGTTAGGTTCTGCTGCCACAAAGCAATGAGCATTTACAAGGATGAGCAATAAGTCCTGCCAAGCGTTAATGCCTCATTGTGTCCTAATACTGGATGTCAACTATCTAGTTGAACTTTAATATATTTTAGTTTATCTCTAGGTATTTCAGTCTGACTTGCAGAAGTAACCAAAAAAAAAAAAAAAAAGAGAGAGAGAGAGAAGATAATTTTAAAGTTATTCTGAAAACATGTGCAATCCCATAAATGTTTACAAACCCGGTTGGGTTTTCCCATCTGGAAATGGTGGTGGCCAAGTTTCCTTCTAGCTTCAGCTCCAACATGACGGAATATCATGACTTTCACATTCCAAGTACAGGTATTTCCTTTCCGTGGGTATTAAACACCCACACTATGTAGGAGACTGGGGTTCTCAGAATCACTCACACCATATCTAGCTCTAGGGCAGCCCTGTACCTTAGAAATAAAATATAAGCCGTGAATACAAGCCCCATAGGTCATTTTAAATGTCTAGTAGCCACCTTAAACATGGTAAAAAGAAACAGGTGAAGTTAATTTTAGTAATATATCCTACCTACCTAGAAATGTGATTTTAACATGTCAATATAAATATGACTGAGGTCATTTATGTTCTTTCTTTTCATACCAAGTCTTAAAAATCCAGCTTGTGTTTGGCCCCACAGTGGCCAAACCATCATGGAAGCCAGAGAGTTTGGGAGCCTGTTGATGTCAGCTCTCCAGGTGAGCCTCCTGGAGCAGAAACAGGGGGTGACATGGATCTGGATGAGCAAGCAGCCAATGTCCTGCATGAGGGGAAATACAGGTCTTAGGGGCTTGTAATCTCGATGAGACAAAACATGCACACATTCTTTAGAATGCAACAGTGCACCGTGTTCCAGCAAATGACTGACAGTGCTACCCACTCACCAAAGATGGCCAAGATTTCCCAAAGTAAGTGGAATTGAAGAAGGACCTTGGTGAAGATGGAGTAAGATTGTTGCAGGTGGAGTTGAGCATAGTGGTATTTCCAGACTGAGAAACGAGCAAAATTATTACAAAACCATATTAAGAAGTGCTTTTACCACTGTTTTTGTTGTTGCTTAGTCAATAAGTCGTGCCTGTCTTGTTTGCTACCCTGTGGTCTGTAGACTATCGTGCTTTTCTATCCACGGGATTTCCCAGGCAAGAATACTGGAGTGGATTGCTGTTTCCTTCTCCAGGGGATCTTCCTGACCCATGAACCGAACCTGTTTCTCCTGGATTGGCAGGTGAATTCTTCACTGCTGAGCCGCCAGGGAAGCTGTCTTACTGCTGTTAATGGCCAGTATTAGTCTCTGAAGTTTGGAAAAGAAAGGATGATGAGGGAGAGAGACTAATGATATTTACTAAAGGCCAGGTAGGAGCTGGGGCTTGCTCCTAGCATCCTACTCTGAGTGGATGCTCAAGTCTTTTCTTGCCATTTCCAGTGTTGAAAGAGGCCAGAGTTTCCCCAGCTACATCCCGAACCCTGGCGGGTGTTCCATAGCAAAGTATTCTACAGTTGAATAAATCCGAAAGACTCTACCCTCTTGAGTATTCCCAATAGACATTAGCATTCTGCAGTCTCTGAGATGACTTTTTAGTAAAGATACCAGTTAAATTTGCTTCATCCAATGTATTCCAAGCCTCTTGGACCATGAACTCCTCTTACCCACGTCCTATCCGATAACATTCATTGTTCTCAGAACACGCCTCAAGAAATGTAATCCTAAACTTTATAAAGGCTCGCTATTGTCAGAAACCTCAGAGGACAAATGTTTTCTGAACAGACAGGGGCCTCAGCTGCATACAGTGAGGGCTGGCTTTACTTTGAGACCAGGTGGGAGACGTTCCACCCATGTATCTGGAATTTTCTTTGTTCTATTATTTCTCCAGGGACGCACCTCCCCTGAGGGATAGGACTTTAACTAAGGTCTTGACAAATGGTCATTTTCATGAATTATTGATTTGGCAAAAAAAATAATTGGCAAAAAAAATAATTGGAAAGGTTGATAATTACTCACACATCTTGCTTCTGTCCTGAGTCAATTCTTTCCGATTCTGTGACATATGAAATAAATGGGTGCAGGTTTGGAAATACACCTTATCAAGAGGTGAATTAACATGCAAAAGGATCAAGGGACATTTCCAGTAGACTAATCGCTCAGGTTCTCAAAATCTCCTGAATACAATAAAAGCTAAGCATCAGAAGAATTAAGAACTGTTAATTGAAAAAACGGTACCTATTTACATAAACAACAGGGAGATAAAAGTTGATTCAAGGTGGGTTATATGGGTTTTTAAAAATTTGTTCTGTGTTTCTTTTCTGAAAGTAGAGGATGCTTAGTCCATAATTTTTTGTTTCATTATAATATTGGCATTTCCTTTATTTAAAAGATATCATAGGGACTTCCCTGGTGGTCCAGTGGTTAAAACTTCTCTTTCCACTGCAGGGAGTGTGTGTTCGATCCCTGGTGGAGGAGCTTAGATCCCTCTCAGCCAAAAAAACCAAAACATAAAACAACAGAAGCAATACTGTAACAAGTTCAATAAAGATTTTAAAACTGGTCCATCTAAAACAAAAGTTTAAAGAAATCACATAGTTTTTATAATAGAATATCCAAACTGAGTTAATCTTTTAGGTGAACTTTAGAAGGATGTGAGGCATAAACAATAGACCTGAATGATTGGTGATTCTGAGTGAGTTCCCTTAGTTCTCCACTCCTAGAGAAGATTTTTAACCTTTCCGTGTTGCAGGAGAAGGAGATATGAATCAGAAGAAAAGTAGGAGAGAGACAGGCTGATGCTTCCTGTCTACCCTCCTCCAGAGATTATGTCTGGCAGGAGCTAGACCCTCTAGATGAGCCGAGGGAATCTGAGAGCAAAGGAGACTTGTGCAACTGCCTCCAGGGAAACCCAGAGAAATGGCAAGCCTCAAAGAAATCCCCCACTTCAGAGCAAAGGAGGAGAAGGGCTGTGGGATTCCTTAGTAGGAAGCGCCAGCAACAACTCCCCAGGGGCACCCTCAAAACGCCAGAGTCATGGGAGAAGCAACAACCAGGAGGCAGTGGGGTCCAGATAAGGATGCAGGGTCTGGAGAAGCCTGGAGGTCAGGAACAAGGCATGATGCAACTGCGATAGGCATGCGCTGGTGACCAAGGACAGGGAGGACAAAGGACAGCTCGTCAGATGCCCAGTGGATGGTGACAATGGCCCAAGTTCAGATTCTCTGTGATGTCTTAGCATCTCTAAGACCAAACAAGAGATGACAGAGTGGGAGCAGAGGGATTGATAAGGGGATGGGAGCAGGGGAGACAGAAGGAGACCCCAAGGGTACCCAGAATGGACTATGATTACATTTTTGCCACTTGTTAAAACAGGCACTAAAAATGAAAATTCAGTTCAGCTTTCAAAAGTATGAAAAATTTACTTTGTGAATACTTGATTTCCAACTTGAGATTTTTTTGTGCCTACTACATTCTCTTAACTACTACAAACCAATCAGTCCTAAAGGATATCAGTCCTGAATATTCATTGGAAGGACTGATGCTGAAGCTGAAACTCTTAATACTTTGGCCACCTGATAGAAGAACTGACTCATTGGAAAAGACCCTGATGCTGGGAAAGATTGAAGGCAGGAGGGGAAGGGGACAACAGAGGATGAGATGGTTGGATGGCATCACTGACTCAGTGATGGACATGAGCTTGAGCAAGCTCCGGGAGTTGGTGATGGAGATGGAAACCTGGCATGCTGCAGTCCATGGGGTCTCAAAGAGTCGGACACGACTGATCGACTGAACTGAACTGGACACTGAGGACTTCCCTGGTGGCGCAGTGGTAAAGAATCCACCCACCAATACAGGAGTTTCAGGTTCAATCCCTGGGTCTGGAAGATTCCTTGGAAGAGAAAATGGCAAACCACTCCAGTATTCTTGCCTGGGCAGAGGAGCCTGGCGGGCTATGGTCCTTGGGGTCGCAAAGAGTTGGACACGACTGAGCGACTAAACAACACACTCTCTGAAGTAGGTATGGACCACTAGGCTTAGTTAACTCATCAGAACATGCCTTGACATACCGAAGCAAAGTACTTCTTTCAACAAACAACTTTTATTTTACTTCTTAGTTCCAATTGTTGTTTCTACACTATACTATATTATACTATAGTATACCTTTTCCAGACATATTATTAAGCAACTGAGTGAAAGATTCATTCCTGCTGATAGTTTCTGCACATGGACTTGGTCATTTTATCCATCTGATCACACCCCATCTCTTTAGCATTCTGCCTTTCAGCTTCTGGCATAATATTAGCTGGGGCTGCAAGATAAAGCTTATCTTTACTAATTAAACACTAAAAGCCCAAGCTCATGTCTGAGCTTTTTACAGCTTAGCCTCTGACACAGTTCTCACCCTTTAAAAGGAAGTGGGATAATTCAAATTCTGGACTGTATAAGAATGTGGTTTTTATAGACCCATTTGCCCAGAAAAAAAAAAAAATTTCTAGACATGGCTATACAGTGATTTAAAAAAGTAGTTTCTTCTTTGTATATCATTAGATCTCTTTTTTTCCTTTATAAACAGGGAAATTCAATCTAGTATACTAAATATCCTAAGAGATCATGAGCAAGACCAGGAAATATCACCAGGAAAGGGGTGTTCTGAGTATGTTTCTTACCTAAGCAATTTCTCTACTTATTGCAAGTTAACCTTCAAACTTTACCTTCTTAAATGATGAACTAGTTTTCCTAATAACTATTCTTTCCTTGCTGACTTGAAATGACGTTTCTCCTATATTCAACTTGAAAAGTGT